ATTAGATTGTGGATGTGCAAATAACTACTTTGATGTGTCACAAAATTAAGTTTGAACATTTAAAGAATTAAACTCTTAAAAAAAAACTATAATATATTATAAATGAATAATGAATGAGCTTAATATTAAATTTGTAAAGAGAATCTTACATTTACCTCAAACATCTTCATGTTGTCTTATTCAGAACTGGACTAATGGTGGATCTATGATCATTTTTCTTATTTCTACTTTTAACCAAGATCCAAATAATTCAGAAACAAAATATTTCAACCTTTAAGCTTTAAAAAATGCTTAATGTTTACAAAAGTGTTCAGCTGCAGTGTAAAAAGGAGAGCTTATCAACATGTTATGCAGTCAGGCTTTTCTCTTCTAAGAGGCAATGTTCTCAGCATCAACATTGCAGAATAAAGATGACTGAATTATATACTCCGCCTTGATCCATTTAGACAGTGAAGTTAAATAAAACCATCCATTATGGAGCTCCACATAAATCTCAACCATTAATCTCAGTAACAAATAAAACAATGAAATAAGCCCAACAATAACCGTTAGATATTGTCTGACTAAATTATGACTGTGTTCAGCTTCACATCAGTGCTGTAAACAAACAATATTTTCCAAACAAGGCAGCTTTTGTGCAGAATAACTCAATGGCCAATGGCCTTTTGGAAGGACTTTTAGGGGCCTTCATGCCCACGATAACATCCAGGCAGGAGGATTGGGGCAATTGGATGATGGAAAAAAACAGTGGGTTTCTCATAATTGATGATATAATCTCAATTTTCAAAACTTATTTGTTATGTCCTTCGTTCCTAAGACCTGAGGGCTCTTATATATGTGACATTGAATCACACTTTTTGCATAATCACAAATTCATTCAAATACTACAATACCTTTGCTGGATGAAGTCAGGTTTAAACACAATTCATTCAGTCTTTTATGCAACACAAATAAAATACTAGTAGACAGACATTACATGGCAGCTAATCTTCAGACAGTGGGCATTTTTTTGTTTGTAGTTACTGAAATGGTCACTAAAGTCAAAAAATTTAAAAACTATTTTTGATAGGCACCAGTTTTTTTTCCCCCATTTGGTAATAATAAGCTGTTATTAACCCTAATACATGAGTGTTTTTTTCTGTAGGACAACAGAAAAACTGTACTTTCTAAGTGAACCACCAACCAAACAAGATTTCACAGAGATTTACAGAATGGTCCTGCACAGGATAATGAGGGCAGCTGGAATCTATGGAAGTGTGTTCATATAGTCTGTCCACAATTAGCTTCAGAGAAGCTGCAGAAACATGGCTTTGAACATTAACTGGCTGTTGAATTTGAAACCCTCTTCCAAAGCAGAACCATCAACTATATAATAATATTATAATAGTAAAGTATAAAAATATTCCTTTTTTCCTCAGAAATAAAAAAAAAGTTTTATTTTTCTATTTGCATAGTTCGAATGATTTAATTTTCTCTGTTTGATCGACCGATATCTAACAGATCCCACAAATGTTCAACCTAATTCTTCTTTGTACACAATAACTACAGATTAATTTGACTGTATTATAAGACAGATTCTTTTCAATTTATTTCAGTTTATCTTATAGCACCAATTCACAGCACGTCTTTCAAGGCACTTTACAGGTCAAAAGTCGAATTGATTCAAAGTTATCTATCTAAGGAACACCAGTTGATTGCATCGACGCATTGGCATTAAGGCAATTCCTCACACTAAGCACATTTGTAGCGACAGTGGAGAGGAAAAACTCCCTTTTAACAGGAAGAAACCTCCAGCAGCACCAGGCTCAGTGTGAGCGGCCATCTGCTGAAGCCGACTGGGGTTCAAGGACATAAAAGCTGACATACAGAAAGAATCAGAGATACAAAAGGGTCAAATGTTGACATCGTCATCCGACAAATAGTCCTGGTCTTAATACATTATGAGGAAACCGAGTGATATTTGATGCAGGAGGATTGGTTGAAAGCAGAACCTGATGTTTGTCCAACATATACTTTCAAAAACCAACTTTAGGTCATAATTTACGCCCTATAAGCTATGTAAATACATAATTTTAAATTCGGTACAAGCTCTCAAATAACACAATAAAGGTTTGACTTATTTAAAACATTTTATGCAACAGATACTTTCAGTATATCTAAAAAACATCTGATTGAAGCCAGCCAAAAGGAAACTAACCAGGCCACATCCTTCTTAATTACACACATAGTAACATGCATCTGTTGGTTGTCTCTGCTGCTTTCTGAGAGCTAACACTATCCAATATTTGGGATCCAGTAGCATTGTATGAAGTGAGATCTATTTCAATCTGAATAAAAGTAATTCCAAACTGATTTAAAAGGCATTTCTTTCCCTCTTATGAATATTTTAAAGTATGAAAAAACAACATATGTCAGCATTGCAAATGCAAATTCAACTTCCTTTTTTGCCATTCAGATATTGCAAAAAATAGCAGTGCCAAATGCATTTGACATAGCCATTTAGCATCTTGCTTACAGTAAATTCAGACAGATGGACAAACGACTCAGGGGTTCTGGACAATAAACAAGCAGCGTATCTGTTTGGCTACAAATAGAGCTCAACATATATACAGTGCTAAGTGCGAGATATCAGCTGGTAGATCTTGCCACATTCTCACACTCTCCACAGTAGTTCTCTGAGAAGAAGTGAAGCACGCCCAAGCACTGCTATCTCGCTTCATTCCCTTTGCGTCTGTTTGTACATCTGTTTGACCTTGCACATAAATTCACTGAGTTCCAGAAGAAAAATAACAGAAACCGTGCATCTAATCAAACCACCAGGAAAAAAAAACAAAAGGATACTGGACAGTTGCTGTTTCCATGCACTCCAACTAAAATGCACAGTGTAATTATATTGGAAACCAACTTAGGTTTTGCTAAACAAGCCACAGCCAAAACACTTTTGCATTCTGTCTGTTTCTAGTGCAGAGATGGCCCAATGGTTTACACTTCCCCAAAAGCATAGCACTGGCAGCTTACGCATTGCATACACACATGTGCTAATTACCAGCTAACCCAGTGCGGTGTTGAAAAGCACCTCCTACAGCCTATAGAGGGCTGCGTCTAGATGTTTCTCTGTTGCTAAGGAACGAGAATAGCCTTGAACATCTAACTGGCTGTAAAGACAGTACGGAGAAAATGAGACATAGATTTCAAGCAAACTGAATAACGACACAACTGCCAAAAGCTCCTCCACATTTTTGTCATGTTCTGCTGTGGCAGATCAGATCATTTATCGAGGGAAGACCTGAGAAGAGGAACGCTGAGTCTGTCTCTACGGTTAAAGTCCATTTTAAGCATTGCAAGCAAATCAAGAAGATTGTTTTACCATTTATTTTTTTGCTTTGTTTTTCTGATTAGATCTGATTAGAATGTAATCATGCAGGAGATATTAATACCTGTTAAACTATTTTTGTAGCATCTTTAAAACAACATAGCCAGTGTTCTTTACATGGGATGTTATGAAATTAACACAAAGTAGTGCATCCTGAAGAATTGAAGCATATATAAAGCATATTTTCTGTTACTTTTACTAATCACAGCTGGAAAGTTTAATGCGCACTGGAATTTAACCCCCTCAGTCAATGCTTTTACAACAATCACAGATTCAAGTTAGCTGCACGTATCCAGGCTGTATGTCTACAGCTTTGCACATTTAAATGTTATAAAGCTAATTTCTCTGTGCAAACATAGCTAAAGGTTCATTAGAATGGACGGGGAGCATTTTATAATACCAATGATCAACCTTGACAAAAGATCATTTGGATGCTTAGGTCTTTGATGAGGTTTCGCCTCAGTTTCAATACTTGATTGGTTTCTTACCAACAGCTCTGACCAATGTAACAGGCCCTGTTGCATAAGCAGTCATGCATGTTGCTACAATTCCTTCTTAAACAAAGATTAAAGTATCATCAAATGACCTCTATATATTAATTAGATAACTGATGAAGGCAATGGGTTGAGCTAGATTATATTTTACGGGTATTCTGACTGAAGGGGGTCAAAAAACAGATCTATGCCTTCCTTTTTTAGATTATATATGTAAGAGGCTGAACATTTTTTTTTTCCATGAATGTCACTATTATGAATGTCTTCCTGTTGATCTATCACATAAAACCCAAATCACAAACATAGCGAAGGAATTGATGGTAAAATAAAGACCATACTGACAGTCATTTTTCACTGCTATTGTACATTATACTGGGCATTATGGTGTTAAGGGAGCTGCTCGGGGAACCAGAGTTAAAGGCTGTGGTTTGAAATGGCGATATTGCAACCTACACAGGATGCCTTGCTCTCCAACCACTAGACCACCAAATAAGAATGGTTGTGTGAATACTTTTGTTTAATGCATGCAAAATGCTTGCAAAAGGTACAAAATTGGCTAAGTTTGGACCTATGACACAATGTACCATCAAGTTAAACACTTTGAAATGATGACAGAAACTTGGTTGAGGACATCAGTGACATTTTTTTTTATCAAAATGTCTAAAGTTTTACTCCCAAGCTTTTAAAATGGAATTACATACTCTAGTTGTGTCAGATTTCATGAGTGTAAATGTTAATTTGCTTTAACTTGAGGATTTTAAGCTTGAAGCGCACTCCACCGTTCCACCCTTCATTACCCCTGACAAACAAAACATTCTTAAGCATTAACGAATAATCATTATTATTGTCAGTTCTTTCTTTTCCCCAGCATTTATTCTAATCCCAGAGCTGTGTGATGCTGTTCTCCATGCCAGTCAAAATTAATTGCTCACCAGGGATGTGGGGTGGCCTGTTTTAAGTTTAGAACTGAGCGTAGGAAACGGTTTCTTCAAACCAATTATAAATGCATTTAAAGAACAGTGTTTGACATGTTGTAGTTTCATTTTGGAGAGAGTCTTAGACTTTTGACAGAAATAGGACCTTATCAAACATGAGAAGAGAGCAGAGCATGTGTGCCTTTCACTTTCACCTACCTTGACACTGGAATCCCTGCTTGCCAAATCCCCTGGGGAAAGAACAAATGTACACAAATGTTACCCACAATCTGAATAAACAAATACAAGGATCGATCCATAACTTCAGATACTTGCATAAGGCAAAATGTTAAACATTCAATATCAACAACACACCAATTAAAGGGTGGCAACCCTTTAAGATGAACTTGAGCTGGTGAAGGCACAAACTATTTGGTTTGTATAGTAGTGTTTTTGGAGTGGAAAAAAATCAAAGGAATAACTGCAGCTGCAGCAAGGCCAAATGATCTGATACACATATCCAAACAAAAAGACACACACAGCCACAGCCCAGCTCATTTTCATAGTGTTACTACCAAAGGCATAACCCACACAGATCTGAAACCGTTAAGCGTGCTAATTATTTTTGCTTTTTTTCCATCATGCTGATGGATGGATGGATGGATGGATGGATGGATGGATGGATGGATGGATGGATGGATGGATGGATGGATGGAAAAAACATAACATTCCGGGGTTTTTTTCAGCCAATGGGATCTAAGTCCCAAACATAATCTTCTAGGTCAAATCACAGAGCCATTCACGAATTAAAAAGCTTGTCACAGGTCTGAACTAACAGCCATTCTGGGACTGGTGCAGAGATAATAATAAACGGGACAAATTAGGCCAAACTCCAGCTTGAAATTAATTTAACAACCTGAGTGCACATCCATGCGGCTGTCTAGTAAACCCAGGTGGCCTGCGTGGATGGTGACATGTTTGCACAGGTTACCGGCAATAGCGGGAATTCTGCCATGAATAGTGCCCCAGGCAAGCCCCTCCCTTTGCCTTCCACAGGACCACTGCCCAAAATACGTCCTAATAAAATAAAAACAACCCTATAACCCAATACCAGTCATTACTACTCGTATTTTGTTAAAATACTAAAAAATAAAAAATAAAACCACTTTGGAATGCTACCTTCTTTTTGCCTGGAAATGTAAAATACGAAATAGAAATATTAGGTCAAGCTGAAATATGCAATTTTTGTCAACACTGCTGGTGTCAAAATTTGCCAAAGAATCAGAGAGAACCTCTGAAGGGCCACTGAAAAGACCACTTGTATGTACGTTTTAAAGACTACTTATTTTCCTGTGACCTCTCAGGTTATCCTTACAAGCAAGCTTGCTCTTGAAACCTTTTCTTATCCACTTATTTCCTCAGCCTACCGCTTCCCATCAAAGGTTGGTCTGCAGCTACTCTTCCTCTTTTAGCACTCCAACCCACATCTTTCTCAGTCCTTCCTTCTTTGCCTTAATGTACTAATATAGCATCAACAAGTGTGATAAAACTTAAAATATGTAGTTATTTAAAGAAAACTGCAGCCAGGGTGAGCCACCTATTTATTCCCCCTCTTAAAGAAACCTGCAGGCTGTAAAGTATTAGAATCTAATTCACTTCTTTAGAAAATGGATGTTAATATATCTTATAGGGTAAGGTGGTGGCAGCATCATGCTGTGGGACTGACAGCTGTCTGATTTTTAAAAGCCCGTTCTTCTCACCAGATGAAGTCTGTGCAGTGGCTGCAGAAGGTGGGCTGCTTGAAGAAGCGCGCGATGAATTTGTGGTCTTTCACCTCGTGAACGTTCTTCTGCCGTAGTGCGCCCTGGCGCGCGAAGCCCCGCATGGGCTGCTTGGGTCCGTCCTCCCCGTCGCTGTTGTTCGCCGCCGAGTCTGCCATTCTCCTGAGTTCAAGCGCTCCGCACTGATCAGTTCAAAGCGCTCGGCGCGTCGAAGTTACGGGTGCGCAGGAAATAGTGAAATGGAGGGAAAATAGAAAAGAAAAAAAAGGATGCTTACTGAAGCAAAGCGAAAATAGTTTTTTTTTTGTTGTTGTTGTTGTTAGAAATGGCTGCTTTTCTGTTGAGGTGTTGCTGTCTTGTCCGTCAGCGGAGGGAGCTGCTGTCGCCGCACTGGCTTCCCTCCCTCCTCTTCCTCCTTTTCTTCTGAAAGCTCCGACTGTCAGAGAGAGGAGAGAAACAGACAGAGAGGGGGGAGAAGCAGAAAGCTTTTAACGCTCTTTTCTACATTTATGCGTCGTTTTTTTTTTGGCAACATGGGCTTAAAGAAACACTCTTGTATCTCGGCTTTACCGCTAGAAGAAAAAAGAAAGGGCTTTATTCTTTCACAAACAAACAATTTAGCAAATAATGTCAGAAAGTGAAGTGGTTATCTTAACACATCTGAGTTTGAGGTTACATAAAACACTATTCTTCAGAGAATAAACACTGCATTCAAGAGTGAGCACATCTCTTGAGTTATGAGTCACCTTTAGAATCTGCTTTGAAAAGGTTTGTTGTTAAGTGAATTTGATTTCACTAAGTTTCCCATTATACAGCGCTTTGCATGAGTATAACCGCCTTTGCATTTTCTCATATTTTGTCACAGTATAATTAGAAACCTCAATGTATTTATGTGATTCAATTCAGTTTATTTCTATAGCACCAATTCACAACACGTCATCTCAAGGCACTTTACAGTTCACCAGATCATACAGTCAAATTGATTCAAAGTTTTCTCTCTAGAAAACCAGTTGATTGCATCAACTTAAAGAAATCCCTCACCCTAAGCATGCTTGTAGCGACAGTGGAGAGGAAAAGCTCCCTTTTAACAGGAAGAAACTTCCAGCAGAGCCAGGCTCAGTGTGAGCGGCCATCTGCCGAAGCTGACTGGGGTTCAAGGAGACAGAAGCAGAGATACAAAAAGCAACTTTAAAAGGTGGCCCCGTCCAGGAAACACACAGCCAGGCAGACGAGCTCAGAGCCAGCTCCCATGTAAGAGGATGAAGAGGGCACAACCAGCCAGTCGCAGTCAGAGAAACAGGACTACACTGGAAAAACAGGTCTATCTTCAACATCTATAAACACAGGTGTTGATGGCAGCAGCACAGCTGATATTTCTCTCCAGGGTGGTGTCACAGCCAAACAGGAACAGATGAGGCAAAGCTGCTATGAGAAAAGGAAGAGAGAGCATAACGTTAGAGATTAAACTAACAGATTCTGCAGAGTGGAAGAAGCACTAATGTAATGCAGAGTTCGGTATAAATTTAAAGACAAATGCAATTTCTACATTAGATGCAGTTGATACTTTTGTGACATGCACTTTCACCCCACTACATTTTCAAGTGCAAATAAGTAGCTATAGGCTGATATGGACAACTGTGCTAGGGTGGGATGTTATCAAACCATTTGTCTGTAGCTGCAAACAAGTGATCTCATTACATCACACAGCAGCATGTTGGTTGGTAGCTGCTCTAGCTGTTGCTAGTGTGTGGAACTGTCTGATCCACGCTTCAGCATCAGATAATGTAAGATTTCTGTGTGCTGAGATTAAGTTTTCAATATTGACCATTTATTTAATCGGAATGATTCCCTCACTAGCTTTGTTTAGAGCACATTGCAAGTTGTAGAGGTTCCCAATGCGTTTGTGTTTCCATAAAAAGAGATCCCTCCAATAAAATTGAGATAGTGTGCTGCAGATTGGTCATTTTAAGTCACAAAGGGCAGAAATGTTTTACAAAGCTTTATACTTTGGCCTAAACTTTCTTAAAATGCATTGATATTTTGCTCAGGTGTGAGCTCTGTTGGCATTACCTAATGTCACCAAATTATTAAATAGACTTTGTCAGGGTTTATTTTATGCTCAGTGTAACTCTGTTCTGTGAAGGCCTGAAAAATTAGTCAGATGATAACAATGAATAAACAGTGTCACAGATATGTTGGTAAATTTAAAGCAATGTGAGGTTACATAGCAATATCCCAAACTGTGGACATCTCATAGAACACTGAAAAGGAAGGGGTGTGACATAAATGCAATCCTGCTGAGACGGGACCGTCCACCGTGAATGACAAGCAAGGCAGGAAGAGAACTAACCAAACCAGCAGCCAAGAAGCTCCCGGTAAGGATGAAGGAGCTATGGAGATCCACAGCTCAGGTGGGAGGATCTCTGGAATAGCGCCCAGAAGAAAGACGCTGCTGAAAGAAGCCCATAGGAAGTATGACTTGCATCATGCCAAAAGCCAAATGTGCTTTTAGGATGAGATGCAATTGAACCTTTTGGCTCACATTTCCATGTGTCGTAGGGAGACTAGCACCCAATTTCATCTTGGATAAACTCTCTCCACCGTGAAAACTGGTGTTAGCAGCATCATGCTGTGGGTTTTTTGTTTTGTTTTTTTGTGACAGGGACAGGGTAGCTGGTAAAAGTTGACTTAAAGATGGATGGAGTAAATACTGAGGTATGCTGGAATAAAACTTCTTAGAAGAAGACGTGACATTGAGGCAAAAACTCACTATCCTCAAGGACATAATAGATATCATTGCAGATGATACAGTGCAACTTTTAAGATTACATTATATTTTTGTAGCCAAATCCAGCTTTGAATCTGATAAAGGTGACAGAAAAAAACAACAATTTAACTCAAATACAACTTAAATTCTCTTTGTAAAAAAGGACACTTTATAAGCAGCAGACTGATCAAAACCTGGTCCACGAACTGCCTTAGAGACAGAGATTTCTATTAATACGTAGAAGGATTAAGAGCAACACTTCGGATCACATACAAAGCAATGCTAATAGTAATTGTCACCTTGTTCTAAAGACACTAGAGCTTGTTTTAGATCCAAACTCCCAACTGACAGGTCCACACACACACATGCACACAAACACACAGTCAGCTGGCTATGAGTGACCTAGATGAGATTGATTTAGCTGCAGGACAGATGACAGCGTGCGCTGTTCAGCTTGGTCTCATCAAATCCCTATTTACTGTAGATTTAGCCAATGGTCCAAATGGCCTTCTGTTTTTAACCATATTGGTCCCCCATTACCACCCTCAGCTTTTACATTAAAAGCACATCTACATTGTGGTTACATAATTGTATCTAGACAGCTGTAAAGAGAGGAGAGCTGCTTAATTTGCAATGGTTACAGGTATCTAGAGACTCGCTTACCTATGAGTAGGTGTGTAAATAGATTGTGAACATATTCTATCATAGAGCTTCAATGATCTCTTTTATGTATATCCAGTAACTAGGATGCAGTGCATATTCTCCTTGGGACTGTTAATCTAGAGGATCCATAACCAAAAGCAGTCTCCATATTCAATACCATAGATAATGTTGGGAAGGAAATAGCTGGATAGTGACTCGTTTTGTTTGATATTATGAATATATGAAGATATACTTCTACTTCTGGTTTTGATTTTTGGCTGTATGATATAATATCGATCTTTTTTAAAAGACAAACTGAGGGAGAGTGGGCTACCTCTGCACCCCCACTGTGGCAGATAACACTGCGGACCCCTTTTTGCTGTGCAGCACAGCGCTATATCTGCAGTTCAGAGGGTCACTACGAAGGATGTGAACTGACTCAAACCCTAAGCAACATGGATACCAAAATAACTGAACGATAAATATCATCTGATAGCAGGAAAAATGTGGCAATATATGGTGATATTGCAAGATAGTGATAATATCGTATTGTGACCTATGTATCGTCACATGTATCACAACACCCATGCCAATACTCACCTCTAGTTGTAACTAGATGGAGAATCTTGTATTAAGTCTTGATTTAGATTCTGATCAGAATTTTCAGCCTCTAACAGGTGTTATATAAAGATTACTCAGGATTTAGCCACATCTACATTTCCATCAATTCTGACAACCTTTCCAGTGTTATGTACATGGTATAGTAAATGTTGGATACATTTCCCTCCTCAGTGTTGTAGGGGTTTAAAATCTGGATTTGGTTTGAGGGTTCTCTTGAGATTATGGCCTATTGGTATTTAAGTTTGCTAAAATTTAAAATTGCTATTTAAAAATATTTACTTTATATTTGGAATTTGCAATAAAAAATAATTTGCATGAATTTCTTTTAGCTTATTTATAGTTTTGTTGGTCATTCCTTGACAAATATGGAAAGTGTAACTCTAGCATTGCTCTGAAGAGAAAAATCCGCAGACCATGTTGCAACTATCATGTGACAGCAGCATGTTATTTAACTGTCAAAGGTAGAAACCATGCTAAATCAGCATGAATGTAACAACCTATTAAGGTTGTTGGCAACAGTGATAGTTATAAAGTCTTACAGCTGCTGGAAGGAAGGATCTGTGATAATGCTCCATGGTGCATTTAGGGTACAGCAGTTTGTCACTGAAGGAGCTCTCAAATATCTATAAAGGTTGACTTTCCCCTAGTATTCATTGGCCTATGTTTGTATTGTGATCAACCAAAACAATGATTAATATTCTCTGTTAAAAAAATCTTTGCTTGAGTTCTTCAGTTTTTAAAAATGCATATAGTTCATCATCTCTAAAAGCAATGCACACAGGATGACAGACTTTCAAATAAAGTTGAAAGTATTAAATAAAAATGGGGAATTGTGTGGATAGCAACGTCATGTTGTGTGGATTTATTGCTACAAGAGGGACTGGTGTACTGGTGAAAAATGTCTCTACTGCCTCGCTACCTTTAAAGCAGCTTTTTATCAACCACTTCAAATCTTCAATATCAGTAAATAGCATAAAATGTCAGAATCTCAGTCCCATAGAAAATGTATGGTCAGGTGTCTAAATGTAATCTAAAATGTCGGCTCCAATATATATTCAAGGAAAAACACACAAAAAAAGTTTTGTTGGTCATTTTTTTTCCATTAAAAAGAAAAATAATTTCATTATGTTTTGACAACTATAGTATCAATTCTTTAGCCAAAATAATAATTAATTTTATATTTCCATAGTCTTTAGTTGGACATGGAGATTATGTAATGGATGCCATTATAATCATAGCCAGCAACTGTGCTTTTAACAATTTTTTTTATGAATCCAGACATTTGAGCATTTACAAAAATAGAACAAAA